CGTCAGCCAGGCTACAGCTGTTTTTCTAGCCAGGCGTCTGTCCTCTGTCTGCACTTGGAGGACATTTATACCCAGTGAGGTCTGTGATCGGTTTCATCTGCAAATGAGGCCAAAGTCTATATTTTTCTTGAATGTAGTCGGAGCGGTGGTTTTGTTAGAAGTTTCATGATTTCCTTCAATTTGCCTCTCGTTAAAAAGGATTTTTACACCTGCAGCATTTGGGACTTGGTGTCTTTGGAAATAATCACTCCCTTTAGCAGTAATCAATGGGGAGAAGTATGCAGTAATTTGGTTAATTAAAAGCTGGGGGGCATTAGACAAGACTGGATGTTAGATTTCCATTTTTTGAGGTGGCATAATTATGTGGAATGCATCAAGGAAATAGCTGATAGGGATTTAGTGCCTGGGCACGAGAACCCTGAATATTCATCTGCTGTTGTTAAATAGTGTGTATAGACATAAAAGCACTTTGAGAGATTTACCTCTGGCCTTCAGGTATTAATTCAGAGACCAGTAGTGCAAAACAGTACTGAGGTTCTGTGTGTTAAACACAGTCTGTGTGCATTTTAACAAGTGGACAAAAGCAAATTGTTTAAATGAAACCAGAAAGGCATCTACGCAGGAAGAAAACACCAATTATTAGTACTCTGTCAAGACAGATATGACGTGGGTGAGGTCCCAAATCAAACAGGAACAGGGGGATAAAGCCTGTCTAATTTAAAGTCATTTGATAGCCAACCTCGGCAGCATATGGCAGACAATTCAGCTGTGTTTTGATAGTGTTCATAAACGAACAACCATTGCCATGCTTCATTTCAATCCAAGTGCACTTTGCTAAAGATAAATGCAGCATAGAAAGATGACGGGGTGTAAATTGGTCCGTAATTGCATCCTCTGGAGAGGAGGGGAAAAAAAAACAGAACGCACACAGATCTGGTCCCATATGCACTTGACGTGTTACACCTACGCATACTCCTGAGTTATTTGCATTTAAGCAGTTTTATGCAGATGTCTGCTCAGCGTTTTAGCTTTTCAGCATTGTTATAGTTTACCCATAGAAAAAGAAAAACAAAACACTTAGCTAAAAGTTATACTTTCCACTTTTTTGTGTGTTGAGAGCTACTGCATGTTTCACCAAGGGAATACGCAGCAACTGTTTCATTCATATCAGAATAAGGGTCAGTGCTAATGAAGTGCTCCATGCCTGCATGTATCAAAGTACACAGTGTACTTTCATATCAAAGCTTTCCATTTGTGTCTTTTTTTTTTATTTAAGTGATTGTTAAAATACACGTGGGTGTTTGACTTCTTTACCTAACCTCATGTTCATGTTAACGGACTTCGTTTTTGTTCCACGTCAAAACAGTCGTAACAAATACATGGACTGAGAAGTGTGTTGTCAAGGTTTAGAATACTGTATGGTTACAAATACTGAACGCTCAGGGCCGAGTCAGTATGTGGTCTGATAACGTCACAGGTGTTGCTGTTGTCTTGTCTGTCTCGTTTGTCGCAGAGAATTACAGGCTGTTTCAATCTGTAGTTAAGCAACAACAACATTTGTAATACTACTGTTGTAATACTACTGTTGTAATACTAGGGTACCTGTCTTCACTTATTTTCTCTGGCATGAAACTGAGGGACAGCTGGACCACAGCCATCTCTCCATGTCCTCACTCCACCCTGCTGTGAAGCATTTGTATCATGTCCGTTCTTATCACATCTCCGTCCCAACAGGGTCTGTGCATCCGGTCCAGTCTAATACCGGGCTTGACCGGCTCCTCTAATGGAAATGGAATGTTATGCACGCGGGATGGTCCTTTTAATTAAAAGACCTGCTTCAGAGGAGGGAGGTTCCGGGGGTGAGAGGTGGACCATAGGGTGGGAGACATCTGCCCCCACAAGCACAAAGACAGATGGACACCTTTGGGGCTCCCTTTAATGCTAATTAATATGAAGATGAGAATGTTTAATCAGTGACCTGAGGTTTGAAAATATTTTATGGTCAGTGAATCTTAAAGGTGAATATTTGTGATTTTTTGTTCTTAACGTGTCTCATTGAAGTACATTTTTAATTCGTATTTAGTAAACTGGTGTGTATGCATGTATTATTATTCATTTACGTAACTCATTTACGTAAAAGAACAACTGTTTGCTAATGTAAACAAAATTAGAACTTTTAAAGGTCTATGTTCTTAACGTGTCTCATTGAAGTACACTTTTAATCTTTAGTAAACTGGTGTGTATGCAGTACAAATACACAATGTAATGATTTAAATTATATCTCCAGAATTTAAAATGTTATTACTCATTTATGTAAAAGAACAACTGGTACTGTTTGCTAATGTAAGCAAAATTAGAACTTTTAAAGGTCTCGGTTATAAAGAAATCCTCTTACGTCCAGGATGATGAAATTAAAAAAAACAATTCAATCAGTTCATGAGGTTGAATTTGTGTCTTGAGTTTTCAGTTCAATTTTATTAAAATTACACTACAAACTACACTAGACTGTTTTAATAAATTTGTTTTTTTAAGGGCTTTACTAGGAGAATAGGAGAAAACTAAAACATCTGAACAGATCAACATGTGGTACCTGGTCGTTTCCTAAAGACCAATTTGTTGCTGACAACAGAGCTGCTTCTTTCTGAGTAGTGTTTTTAGTTTAATGAGAATCTTAGACAAATGCTTTTAATACCCTCTGGGATTACATTAAATCACAGCAAGTCATTGCAGACAGCTGTCTCCAAATGTCTGTCCACATTTGTCATGCGTCTCCTCTTGTCTCATATGAACCTAATACTAATATTTCTTTTGTGTCCTGTGAAATGGATAATATTATAAATAATGTTGTGTTTCCTGTTTATGGTGTAAAACATATATGGTGAGATTACCTCATGGTTAATTCATCAGATCTTTAGATGAATAATAGATGTCCATGGAGACCTGTGCCCTTGTGCCTACCCTTGTTATTAAGAGAATTCCTGATCATATCCAGCCAGCAGGCTTCCTTTGGTGTCCTGTTGGAAAGTCTGTTTCAAAAGCGACTAGTGATGGGTCTTGTTGCTTTGGTATTGCTCATATCATACATCATCATATGTGAGATTCTCCAGTTTCTGCTGCTGAGCTTTGACGTGCTCTTCTTTTCTACCTCTCTGTGGTCTCTGCCTGAACACTGCCATTCCAGACACGCTCCTACATTTGTCTTTATGTAAATAGAGACTCGTAAAGAAAGCGGGAAAATGACGCCGCTTTGTCTTCCGTGTGATAAATCTTGAACAAATAAACATTTCACCAGTTTACAATTACTGAGATAATAATTATTCTCCTTTGTAGATGTTTGATTGTCGTGCTCGGTGTTCGAATGATGCACTCTGCATTATGCCGGAGTTTAAAATGACAATAATAAAACATCTGCCACCATTAACTGATTTCCATTGGTGGCTGAAAATGGCCTGAAGCACGCAGCAGGCCTCGGCACCCTGGATTAAAGATCCTGAATAATCAAGACGAGTAATCTCCCTTGGCAACCTGTTTCCAGAATCACCCTGTCTTCTTTGTCATAATCAACATAAAAATAGTGCTCATTTTAATGTGGTATATGGTACAACTGTAAAAATATCACAAGAAAAGATAAAGGTGGAGAAATGGAGTCAGCCTTAAATCATTCAACACGTATTAATAGAGGAGCAAGTGGGGAGGAGAGGACATCAGAAGGAGCAGTGACATCTATTATGACTGATTCATTTGAAAGCCTTTATTAACAGTTAATGTGGGTCAATGAGTTGGATCTGGTGATTACTCAGCTGATAAGTGAGTAAGTGTGTTATAATCCCATCCCGTTTGTGTATTAGTTAGACCTAATGTTCATCCTCCTTTCCTGCACTGATTTCCTTGCACATTCCTCAACATAATAATACACGGCCACGAAGGTCGAACAATCAACTATGATAAATTAAAAAGACAACTTTTACAGAATAATCCATAACATCATGAGCGCCTAGTGTCCAGACTGTAAATAAAGACTTGATGTTGTGAGGCAAAAAATAGCTATTGGTATTTGCGGAGGTGTGCAAACAGTTGTCTTCTTCTTTGTTGGAATGAGGGAACATTTATATGGGTGTGGCGACGTAATGACGTAAACATCATAAACCGACTTTATATCCATTCATCCACTTTCGTCCGTTTATCTGTTACCGGGTTGTGGGGGCAGCAGTCTCCATGACCGCCACCCAAATCACACTGCACTGTACCAACCCCCCTGAACCTCCCTGCAGGTGGTGAGTCCACTGGAAGGTACCACCTGCCCTAACCGGGATTTCGATCTTGCCCAGGAGCCAATGACAGAGACATTGCCTCTGGGCCAAAGCTCCACCCGACTTTATTTTGTGTCCATAATTCCTGAAGTCAAGTGTAAACTCAGGACTGTTAAGCTTGCTTACTAACAGTAAAATAGCATACCAGTGTGGGCAACGCACATCCTTCTGCTACATTATACTTATTAGATAGACTTTGGCTCAAGAATGACAGCTTTATTACGTACAGACTGCTCTGATTTCTGGTTGACAACGTGTAGGTGTAGGTGTAGACTACTTAACCGTGTCAGGTAGTGTACACTGTCCAGATGTCAAACACTTATGAGATTATGCTTATGGCTTTATTGTTGACCCCTGTGGAACTATGTTTCATGGTTGATTGTTATTACTGTATCTGTTCACGCTCTCAGTTGGTTTTCGATGATCTGTTAAGTTTATGTTTGGTCACATTTAACAGTTAACTGAAGTCCTTTGTTGTTTACCTTTCTCACCGTTCTAAATAAGTAGTGTCGTATTTCTAAAGGCAATGACATGACTCTGTAGCAGCATTCAATCTTTCACCCTAAGGAGGGCACATTAGCCAATCCGCCGTTAATCTTCCTTATTCTGCTTGTAATCTCCTTTCAATGGGCCTAATGATATCTTCTTATGAGTTTTCAATATGAATAACCCCGGTTTTCTTTTCAAAAGATCAAAATGAAAACGCAGTCATCAGAGAGAGGCTTCAGCTCAGTCACTCATCTCTGACAGACCTGATCTTCAGTGAAAGTGAGCTCAGCGTAGGAGACGAGCTCCCAGAGGCAGCTGCTTCACACCGAGCGCGCGGTATCCGTTCACCCCTTAATGAAAGCTGCTGTAATCACATTTAGACAGGACGGTCGTATCTCATTAGCTCCCTGGTTCAAGAAATGCTCTGCAACTCTTTGATGTTCTGGAAGATTCTCATCGCTGGGTTCAGAACAAAGCCTGTCTTCCTCTAAGATAAGGGGAGGACGGCGTTTCCTCCTGTTGTGCTGTGGATGACAGTAAAACGTCTGAGGCGGCAAACCTTTGTAGTGCTACAAAACAAAGTAGAGAAGTCTAGTTTTGTGACTTTTGTATTCAAGGGAAACCCGTTTGATAGAAATGGAATTAAATCACAGGGAAACCTGACAGACAGACACCAACGATGGAGCGTTAATCACATCTGTTGTCAACTTTGAATCTTGTGATGTGTGAAATATGGATAATATTGCTAGTTCTGCATTTTGGTGCAGCGTCTAAAAAAACCCATAAAATCAATGTAAATTATCGTACATGTTCCCGAAAACAAGTGTCTTTACGCGGCAATCCAATACTGTGTAATTGTACACAGTGGGGGTCCACCAGCGGTCTGTGTTTCTCTACTGTCCACGTTGTGTATTACTTTCTGTACTGAAACATGGAACTAGTGCCACACATTTTTAAAAGCTCTACTCACGTTCTGTTCATTTGGCTTAACTATAAAGACATTTATCTATTTATTTATAAGAGCCTTTATTTTTTTATTTTATATCTAATGTAACAGAATTATAAAAATGAAACAATACCAGACACTGTATTTATTGGTTCTCAAATAAACCACTTTAAAATACTTTGAACAAGTGGGGTTTTTAAAGCCCCATCTGCCCCCCCTCGGTCCAACAAAAATTTTGACCAATTACATTTCATATTTATTGACATCAAATACCACCCAACAAAAACGTACACAAAGTGCAAAAAGAGAAAATAAAATTGCAGCTGTGCCATCAAGAACCTTTAAAATATCCTCCCGTCTGTCTGTCGTGCCCAATCTGTAATGTCTTCATTCCCCAACAGGGGGGCCCGCCCCACACTTTGAGAAGCACTAATATAAACTGAGCTGCAGGACTGGATTTTAATTTAATTTAATAGTGTTTTTTCTAACCTGAAGCACACATTTGCCCTGAGGCTACAGGACAAACTCAGCCGTCAGCTCTGCAACAGCATCCTGAGGCCAATGATGCTGATTCTTCTTTGATGGTCCTGACGTTCCAAAACTCTCCAAAGGCACTGTCTGTTAAAATTGTCCAATGTCTGGGCTCCCTGTGGGGATCGTACTAACCATATTAAGTCAACGTGCCAACGTGGGGTGAATGGATGTATGAATCAGGAGGTAGTTGCTCACTGGTGTCAAAAGAACTTGCGTGGCACTTTTCTGACATTTTTCAAGGCATACCTGGCACTTGATAAGGCCCCAATCCAATGTTGTGTTTAAGACAGGATCTTGTGTTTTATGCACTTTGGCTCTTGCTGACAAGGCTGCTGTCTGCAGATAACACAGAGCCTGCCAGAGAGCAGTTGCAGGCAGGCTAAAGGATGGGGAAAAAGAAAGAAAAAAGAGAGAGACCAAGGGTTGAAGGAAGGGGCTAACGCTTATTTTTCTTGACTCATTTTAGACTGTCTACAGGGCTTCTGTCACACATGGGAGCTTCCTACATTGGCAAAGATTAAAAGGGACCAACGTTATCCTGCCCTCAGCAGAACAACTGCAGGGAGCAATAAACCAAACACACAGGCCTTCCTCATGCATACCTGTGAGGCTCTTTCCCAGCCAGCCACGGTTTTCCCACAGTTAGGAGTGAAGAAAACAAAAACAAGAATGACTTCTTCTAAATGTTTTAATTCAAACTTGGGTCGTTGGAGATCTTGTATAAAACAACATTCAAATATTTTACGCTCTACAGTATATATGAAAAGATAGTTTGCTGGTTCAATGCCTGTCTTTCTGTCTAGTGTTTGCATGTTCCTTCTGTGTGGGGACATGATACTTCAGGTATGGAAACATGCAGGATTAGTTTAGATAGTAAATTAATAAATTACAGATAGAGAGTAAATTAATAAAGTGTTATTGTTCAGATTAGTTTAGATAGTAAATTAATAAAGTGTTATTGTTGTTCCATTTAGCTTGAAGAAAGTCACTTTGAGTCTTCATCAGGGAAACAGCGTTAGTCTGCATTGACTGATTTAGCTTGAAGAAAGTCACTTTGAGTTTTTCTCTTCATCAGGGAAACAGCGTTAGTCAGTCACTGCAGAGTCATTTTGTCAAGAGAAGACAACAGACAGCAGGGATGTACAGACAGGCCAGATATTCAGATCAAGATTGGAATGGCATAAAATCCAAACTGTCTGACAGAGACTGTGATGATGAGGGTGATAGGAAAAAACCCACAGACCAGAACTCCGTGGGTTTTATCACTAAGGTACATCAGTGTATAGAGTGAATCCATTGGCAAAAAGAAGCTTGTTTATTGACGGTCGGCTTTGAATGTCAGCTAGTAGTAATGTCAGTTGTTGTTACAGACTACAATGGAAAATCTCAAGCTCTTCTCGGACGTGATCGGCTTAAATTTGACCCCAAAACCCCAATCATTCTGTCTGAAATTCACTAAGTGTGTGATCGTCAGCCAAAGGAGAAACATGCGGCAACGATGAAAAGCTAAAAGTGCTGGAAATGACAGGCCCGCAGAATCACAACAACTCGCCAAAAGAACAGTCTGTGCTTAGAGTGTCAGTGGTGAGCTCACATCTTGTAAAGATGACACGTTTGGACGGCGTCACGAGGAACAGTTCCGTTGACAGTGTTAATACTCGAGCTGATGAGCAGGAGGAAAGATTTGTCAAAAATCACAGAACAGCCGACCCACGAAATGACACCACAGAAAGTGACAGAAGACTAACATTCAACGTGATGTCACAGAAGGCTTTTCAACCTGACGCTAACGATGAGCAACTAGTAAAACAGAAAAAGGTCCCAAATCCTGTTGCTTATAAAAGCATTAGAACTGACAGCAGCGGTGCCTTAAGTTCCCCTTTACCTTCGCAGAGCGTCGGTGACAACTTTGCGTGACTATATGCACGGCGTTAAAACTGTCCAAATGCATCTGGGTGATTGCTGTTTAGAGCAACGGGGAGCAGAGAACACAGGTTTTCATGCAGCGCAGAGACACGTTCAGTGATAAGATCTGACTCACTTGATCTCAGCTGGGATTTGGGAGAAATTTATAGCAGAACACATGCAAAGTATAGGTGGGAAGGTGTCACTACTACGCAGTGAAATTACAGACTGTCTCCGTGTCAACATGAGGGCCTCCTCAACGCCTGTGCAGCTTGGAAGAAGTGGCAGCTCAGATGTTTGGAACATTTGTGTTTACTGTGCTGAGTGTTAAATGGTTGAAGTGAGATGTACTTGAAAAAACCTGCTCCATGTTAATAACAGCCAGGACTCCATTTGGACACGGACAGATTTCTCTGCAGGACTTTTGGCAACAACCTTAAAAGTAAGGCTTTCCATATTTAGCCGTTAGTGATTGTAGCCTAGCATAATGGCTAACTTTAAAACGAGCTAAAACCAACAGATGGTAAGAATTTAGCTGCCTGCCTGCCATTCAGTCAGTTCCAGGTTCAGGTCTTTGTAGCTGTGCCAAATCACTACGCTAACTGCTGCTGCAGTGAAGCCCGTTCAGGTGAATAGAGAATGAGAGAATGGTAGCTTAACAAAGTTTCAACCTAAAAAGCCTTAAACTGTGTTAGCACGACAAGTGCGAACAAGAAAAATGATGTATATCTAAGGATGCCCTGTTACCAATAGTAGTTAGTATCAGTACTAGGACCAATACTTCGTTTAAGTACTGGTTCTCAAAAACATTTGCAGAACCAGCCATGAGATACTGCATGATGGGTTTTAGGTACGAGTGCAAACTTCGCACTATTGCAGAACCAGCCATGAGATACTGCATAATGGGTTTCAGGTACGAGTGCAAACTTCGCACCATCAGCAAGTTTTTTTTTCGTTTTTTTTCTGTCTTTATACTTGAATGAAAGTACAATGAAAAGACAGAACCTAGACTTGTGGGTAAGATTTGTCCTCCGTACCATGAGCGCAGAAATACCTGGAATATTCTCCTAAACACTAAATATGCTGCTGTCTCCTCTCAGTTCAGTGGCTCAGTGGACAGCTGAGGTGTTCACACTGTTAGCAGAGAAACACTGGTTTATTATCAGCAACTGAAACGGTGTAAAAGCTCTGCTCACTTTCTGTGCAGGTATTATTGTGCAGGAAGTTACATTTTGTTTTTCTTGATTTTGAGAGGATAAATATTCTACATTTATATATATATTAATCTAAAATATAATCTCTTCTGCTATATCTTTCTATCTAGTTTTATTGAGCTCACCATCATACTGCGTGTCACTGTGTTTCCCACAATGCTCTGCCCCATATATACCACTGACTTCCAGCTCACTGAATATTTATTGAAACCCCACCGAAAGATGTACTCCATATTGGTGAGTACATAAGTAAAAAAAAACTCCGAGCTGGTCCAAACATGTATTAGCCATCAACATGCCAGTACTGGACACAGTATTACTACTAAAGTATTTTCTCACCAATCCGTTTCCGGGCGTCAGTGACATTGCATTATCACCGAGGGAGTAAAATAACAAGGAGGGAGCATGATACTGATATAACAACAACATGACACATCACACCAACTGAACTGACACCGTCACTACAGGAACTAATTACATAAACTGCCCCGACGTGTCATTACAAGACTGGACGCCCACTGCTGGACAGAGAAATGAAAGACAAGTCGTTCACCGGCAGATCCTCACTGGACCTGAGGAGGAGGAACAGACCAGTGAGTCCTGCTCCTACAAGGTGCAGTCTAATGGGAGAAGATACAAATAGAAGCAGTGTCACGTCCCTCTCTGCTGCAGCAGCACCACAGCTCCATGAAGAAAAACCAAGACAGCGCAGCTGAGTTCACCCAAAAAAGACACCAACATCAGCTCATGTGCCCTCTACAGCGAGTGATTGGTTCTGTGCACGAAGCCCAAAATATACTTCGAAAAACCCGAACACAGGACTTTACATTTTGAAGTTTTTTTTTATTATTATTTGTACATGTTGAGCCACAGTATTTAGTACTAACTGGTCTAAAGTATTTTATCAGTAGATTGTTCTGTTGAAAGTCTAAAGTATTTTATCAGTAGATTGTTTTGTTGAAATCTTGATGTACAAGTAATCTACCTCTTTATTTGTTTATTTGCTAAAACCTTTATTTTTACAGACAGAGTTGAAGATTTTTTTTATTGTCATGACAATTACATTGTCTAGTAATTGCTAGAAAAACACTTTGCGCTCCCTTCACGACAGATTAGCCTGTCCACGTAAACTGAAAAAACAACAGGATTTCTCTCATCAAGGTATTGAATATGAATCACCATTTTTATTTTAATTCTCACCTCCAGATGGAGCTTTTCTGGAAACAACATTCTATGATGATTTATGATTGATGATTGATAAGGGTTTTTTGGACACAAAGAAACCAGATACAGTATGAAGTATGAAGTATGTCTGACTGGCAGATACAGTATGAAGTATGAAGTATGTGTGTCTGACTGATGACCGACTCTATAATCAATAAAAAAAAAAACAATTGAAAATACATTAAAAAATTACCTCAAGGAAAAAACGTAATTATAACTGATGTCAAGTTGAGGCTTTGTGGGACAAAAATAGTCCCCGGGCCAGATGTTTGACACTATGAAAAAAAAAAAAGAGAATAATTGCCTAAAAGATAAATCAGAGTTGTGTAAAAACAAAAAAGAGAATAATTGCCTAAAAGATAATTCAGAGTCTGCCTTCCACTGTGAGCTAACAGCACTGTCAGGTTTGTGACTTTACGTTTTATCACAGCCTTCCATAGCATTCGTGTTTGTCACGGTAGGCTTCATTAGAGTGATTGTGTACTGCAGATCTAGGCCTACTCATATCTGATGTAAACCGTGGTAATGATGTCTGCTGTGGGCTTGAATGGTCAGGGATCAATACCCTCTGGATGGATCATCTGTGGGTTAACAAACAGCAGTGCACGCATTAGACCGGCATCATTATACGGCAAGAGTTCAACCCTCAGCTGAGGGGAAATCAAGGTTTTAATTTAATTAAAGATAAGGCTGCACACAAAGCAGGTCTTTAGGTTTTACAAGCTGGTAGGCCGGGCCTGGGTCTCTCTGGAGGAAAATGAAACACTGAGTGCTGTACAGTTAACATGGAAATCTATGGGCTGTGCCTCAGAGTCAGCGTCGGTGTCACCAACCTGCAGCACAGTAATGCGTTCAATGACAGATGAACTGTCTGGAAATAATCAGATAAACACAGTGATTTGGATTCAGAGTGAAGCCGTCACTGTATCTGTGTCCACGACGTGTGTTGGTCTGCAGTGTTTCAGTCACGTGATCTGAAGAAACAGTTCCTCTGGAAGATTCTATGGTCCTTGGGTGTATGTGAATCCCCCTGAATGAAAAATCTAACTTTAATAGCACACTGTGATTTATCTGTGCTGTGTTAACACAGCTGAACATTCATCAAAATACTGTGCTGAACCCCCCCCAAAAACAACTGATACTGCAGTGTTGCATGTACTTTGTATTCATTATCTGTAGAGATAATGGACAAAAAGCACATTAAAATCTGTCCAATAAAAAAACCGAGTGCTTTTAGAAGTGTGCTCTCAGCTAAAACATATGAAGTCCTAGTTAATTCCCCCCCTTTTTAAATTTGCTTCTGAGGTTGCCATGTTGGATCACTGTTTTTGGGAGGTTCTTTTTTCTTCCATTTTGAAACTGAAAGCCTCAATTTTTTTCTTCCATTTTGAAACTGAAAGCTTAAAAAGTTTTAGCATACGCCTCGGAATTAACCATTGGTGTGACTACAGCACAAATTGTAACCATCAGATGGCGCTAACTCTTTAACTTGTACATTTCAAGTGGCATTCAAATACCAACATTTTCAAAAATTCTTTATTTCATTCAGTGTAA